TTACTTACACCTTACACAGATGCAATTACAGAAAATCACAGTAACAAAGAGTTACCACATTTTACATCTCAACATATGTAAACCAAGGAATCAAGAACACTGGACCCATGGTTCATTTGCGCTGGGAGCTACAACTAGGAAATTCCGAATTATATTAAAGGTCTTACTCAAACCAATACAGGCTATTTGGGGTAGCAATGTGGCATTCAGGCTATTCATATCTCTCTAATGTCACACTGTCACTGCCATGCAAGCCACGAGATAGAGCTCAACTTTTGTCACAAGTCAGTTCATGAACTTTCTGCCCTTCCCCATCCAGCTAACTATAAGTTCTATTATTGTGCAATTGAAGTGTCTAGGAGCAACAACAGCTCACCTATGAAGCAATAGATCATGCAAACTCACAGAGCATATCCGCTGGTGTGCTGAAGCACATAGTGAATAAAATATTCTGTTGTATCACTCAAAACTCCACTTCCAAACTGCCTCTGGAAGCAATATTCATGCAAGAATTGTGCATCAGAAGCTTCATGAAATGGGTTTCCATGGCCAAGCAGATAAACACAAGCCTAAGATTACTATGTGCAATGCCATGAGTTGGTTGGAGTGGTGTAAAGCCCACCTTTTGTTCTTAACAAATCCATTTTAATATGCATGGTTTTGGAATGGGATGTCCAACAAGCTCATATAGGTGTGATTTGTCAGGTGTCCATACACATTTGGACATACAGCATATTGTACTATTTAAAACAATTTGTCAGGTGCTCAAAGCAATTTTGCAAGACTATACAGCACATTGTCTTTTTTTGTCTTGTGGCTTGGTTAGAATAATTACTTCCCAAATCATTTGCTAAAAGAAATAAATGGTAATTTGTCCAACATGACCTCCAGTTCTGTCTTTTCTGTTCTCCATCCTGGGGTCGTTTCCATGAAAAATTAAGTCTTGAGTACCAGTCACCTTTGGTCTAATCTAATCCTCTTAAAATAGTTTATTATATTTATTTATTTGTGGGGTGTCTGCCTTAATGTGATGTCCAGCACAGCTGTGTAAAGGAATGATATGTCAAAGCTATCCATGGTAGGTGCAGACTTGGAATGTGCTAAGCATAGATTAATGGTATGTTTGTTCATCGTATCAGAGTAATATTTGCACCATTTTCAACTTGAAAATAGAGGAATTAAATGTATTTAAATCACCAAATGGATAAAGCGTTGTTTTAATAATGATATAATACGACATTTTGTGTTTGGTTTGCTTTGTTGAGCGGAATAATCTTGAAAACAACATTTCCATGGTTTTATCGGACTTAGGAATCCTGAATTTCTTCTTTTGCTACTTTCCTTAATTCACCCTTTTCCATTTTACTCACAGGGTTATTTTTGGGACTTCGCCATGATACTGTGACTGATTCTCTCTCTTAACAAACACAAATATGGCAACTGCCAAAAAAGGTAAGTGTGCGTTACCCCCCATCCCCCTCTCATGCTATCACGTGTTCTCACTTTCTCTGTTGGTGATTGTGGTGCACATAAATCAATTCCTTTAACGTTACTGGGTTATACTGGGTAACACATTTGCATACAAGTCCATAACGTCAATGTTTTATAAACAAGACTAATAGCTAAATACATGAATTAAACACATTAATTGATATATATATATATATATATATATATATATATATATATATATATATATATATATATATATATATATATATGATATATATATACTTGTATATATTTACTGTTCTCCAACTTGGAGTACTGTTGCAGAATTAAGAACTGTCTTCATCTCCTGCTGGTGTTTGTGTCCAAACTGAGCCTGCTTTAGCATCCACGTTTAGAAATGATCAATAATAGTGATCGATAATAAATAATCTTATAAAATAGGTGTTAAGATAATTTTATTCAAAATCTCAGGGTGTCAGATTAGGTTCGAGTAAGTATTCTATAAAATGCCTCTCTCTGACTTGTAAATGTTTAGTATAAATTCAGTATAATTTTTTTTAGAAATTGCCTTGCTGCCTTCATAAGGAGACTGTGTTTTAAAAAGGCTTGGAAAGAAACAGTTCAAAGGAATGTATGACAGGGTGGAAAAGCAAGACTTCCTGTCTGTGTATGTGATTTGTTTTGTGTGTTAATGAATGCATGTGTTACTGCAGCTTCCTCTAAGGCGGGAGGTGTTCGTTTTGCTGAGGCAAATTCTGCTGCCGCTGCTACCGCTCACTCCCACGTGCACTTTGATGAGAAGCTGCACGACTCTGTTGTCATGGTGATTCCTGAGTCTGATGGGAACTTCTTGGTTAAGGTGAGTTTTGGGTCAGTGGTTCTGCTTTACATGCATACATATATAGAAACCCACACATGCAGACACATTATATCTGTCCATACATAATTATGTACATACATACGCATTTACATACATATGCATGTCACTTCATACATATACAATGCCTTTCTCTGTGTCAATACTAATATCTGTATTGCACTCTAAATA